TCCAGCTCTAACCAGGAAAATATAAGATGTGCTATATCACCGTTGTTTCTTAGAGCTGAATAGTACTCCATGGTATACATATACCACATTTTATTAATCCATTCTTGGATTGATGGGCACTTGGGCTGTTTCCACAGCGTTGTGATTATGAATTGTGCTGCTATAAACATTCAAGTGCAGGTGTCTTATAACAGTTTTAACTGCCCCAAAACTTCAAATGATCCAATATCCTTCAATGGGTGAGTGGACAAACAAAATATAGTACATCCACACTTTAATACTGCTGAGCAAGAAACAGAAAGAATAATTTACACATGTAACCATTTGGATGAACTTCAAAGACATTATTCTGAGTGAAAGAAGCCAGTCTCAAAAGGTACTGTATGATTCTATTTATGTGGCATTCTTAAAAATGACAAAATCATAGTGACATAGAATGAGTTAGGAAGGATACCATCTTTCTCATGTGTGAAATAATTTCTGTAGTATAGGACGAGTATCTAAAAAAAAAAAAAAAAAATCCCAAAACAACAAATGCTGGCGAGGATGTGGAGAGACAGGAACACTCTTACACTGTTGGTGGGACTGAAAATTAGTGCAACCTCTGTGGAAAAGAATTTGGAGAATCTCAAAGAGCTAAAAATACAAATACCATTCGATCTAGCAATAGCGCTATTAGGCATCTACCCAAAAGAGCAAAAGATATTCTATAATAAAGACATCTGCACTCGAATGTTTATGGCAGCACAATTCATTATTGCAAGGTTGTGGAAACAACCCAAGTGCCCGTCAATTCATTATTAAAATTTGGTATATGTAAAGAATGGAATAGTACTCAATTATAAGAAACGACAGTGATCTAGCACCTCTTATATTTTCCTGGATTGAGCTTGAGCCTATTTTCTGAAGTGAGGTATCACAAGAGCAAAAGAATAGGCTCCACTTGTACTTGCCATCAAATTGGCATTAACTGATTAACACTATGGTGTTCACATGTTAGTAATATTCTTCAGGGATTAGGGGGTTGGGAGGTAAACTCACAACTAAAGGAGACGACAAACATTGTAGAGGGGAAGGGCATGCCCCTAACCCTTGCTAGGGTGAGGCAAAGCCATAAAATGTAACCAAAATGTACCCTCATAATACTCTGAAATTTAAATAGAGAGAAACAAAGAAATAAACTACCACTTGTCAATTTTTAGTGTAGTATCATATAATAGCCACAATTACCTAAATATACTACTAAAATATTCTCCCTTTTTCCAACTATTAAAAAAAAACCATAGTGATGGAGCACAGATCAGTGCTTGCCAGGGTTTAGGGGTGGAAGGAGAGTGTGGCTATAAAGAGGTAGCGTGAAGGAGTACTTTGGGAACTGTTCTGTATCTTGATTGTGATTATCGTTACACAAATAGATATATACTTTCAAACTCATAGAACTGCACACCAAGAGAAAGTAAATTTCACTGTACAATCTAAAAACTTAAAAACATTATACCATAATAAAAAATTAATGTGAAATTTAAGAGTCTAGAATTCTATAAATCCTTACAAAACTGTTAAAATTGGGCCGGGTGCAGTGGCTCACGCCTGTACTCCTAGCACTCTGGGAGACCAAGGCGGGAGGATTGCTAGAGGCCAGGAGTTTGAGACCAGCCTGAGCAAGAGCGAGACCCCATCTCTACCATAAATAGCAAAATCTAGCTGGGTATGGTGGCACATGCCTGTAGTCCCAGCTACTAGGGCTGAGGCAGGAGGATCACTTGAGCCCAGGAGTTTGAGGTTGCTGTGAGCTAGGCTGACACCATGGCACTCTAACTCGGGCAACAGAGCAAGACTCTGTCTCAAAAAAGCAAAACAAAAACAAACAAAAAAACCCTGCTAAAATTAAAGAGTCAAATCATACTAATTTTGACTTCCAAGTAGGGCTGTTGTATGGCACAAATGAAAAAATGTAAATCAAAATCATATCTTATTACTGAAGTTAACAAAAACATTAATTGAATGAGATGGAATAGCCTTTAAACATTTTTATATGGCCATTCCCGCACAGCTAACTTCAGCTAGTGTTCTGGGCTCTTAATCTACTGTGATGCATATGGACAGTCACTGATCAGTGATAAGCCCAGGCAAACACTCAATCCCTAACTGAGTTGTTAATGAAACACTGGTCTTTCTCACAACCTCAAAGATCAGAAGTGAACTGCTGATGTGTGGAATGACTGTGCACTTGCTTCCTTCAGATTTTAGATTCACTTCCATTTTCTTTTCTCTGGAGAAGGAATGCAGCTGTTCAGCATCCTTTGTAAGAGTGTTTTCTTCTAGAAGTCTCCCAAGGGCCCTTACTAAGTGTGAGAAATACTGGGAAGACTACAGCAGATTTGTGTATGAGTCATTTTCCATCTGTATATGGTTAAGTGCACTTACAGCACATTTTTAATCAAATAAAAAGGCAAAATGAAAAATTTAATTATTGATTTACTAGCAATTACTATTTTTAGATTTTCAATTATCTATTATCCTCACATATAGGAGGGTAGAATTATCTTCTCAAGAGTAGTACATAGCACAGTGCCTTGAACATTGTCCTTCTAAGACCTCTTTTCAAAATTTCATAGTTCAAGCAGAAGCATTCTCTAGAGTTTCCTATATTTCTAAATTGCAGAATGGGCACAGTACTGGTTCAAGTGCAGCTAATTACCAGAGGTGCTAGAAGCCCCTCTCCATCTTCAAAAACCCATGCTCTCAGTAGCATCTAAGATGAAGAGAACAGAAGGCACAACAGGGCAGGAGAGAGACACAGACTTTCGAACTGTGAATGATTAATCAAAGGATAGAGAGGTCAGGTCTGCGTCCACTCAGGTCTACAGAAAGACGCCCTAAACAGTAGTGTCTAGAAGCTAAGATATATCCATGGCCTAGGGCACTGTACATGCCCCAAGGGGATTCTCGGTGGTTCATCCTTCAGGAAAGTTCAGAGACAATCACAGCAGGGCTACCAGGTGTTTCGGTGGAAGGGAGGACACAATATGTAAGTTTTCACAGCCTAGACTCTGGACACCCAGGGAACTACAAACCTACTGGGGTCAAATGGGACATCACAAGCGTGGTGAAAAGAATTTCTGGCATTTCCATTTTCCTGTTTCACATGCCTCAGCCTTGGGTTCTCTTGAAATACTGTGGTCTCAAAATGATATGAGGAGTTGAATATTGCAGGAAAGAAAACAGCTTCAAATCAATTTGTTCCCAGTCGAGAAAAGCTTGTGACCTGGTTTTGCAATCAAGCGATCATTTTAAGGTTGCACGTGGATTTATGAAGAATGTTTCCTTTATAATGAACTTGTAAAAATGTAGATTAGAGTGAAGAATAAGAAGAGTGTGAAAAATATAGGTTACCATTTGGATGTAGCTTTCTTCCTCTTTTCTGGAAACAGGATTGACAAAAAATCTTGCAGGATTAATACCATTTCTTTCTGGAGAGAGAAAGCTGGTTCGATTGCTAAGAACAAAAATATAGATGAGGTCAAAGCAATGTCTTACAGCTGCTCTGAAAGCCAGCCAGAAACTGACATGGCCCCCATGGGGTTTCTGCCCTTCCCTTCTGGACACAGCTTCCCTCCAGCCAGAGCAATTCCTGAAGAAGCAGAGGCTGCCCAGCAGTTCCTCTCCCACTCTGGGGCAACTGGATCCCAATTCACAAAGGCTGCTTTTTTTCTAGGCCCTCTATGAGCCTCTATGAGGCTCTAAGAGACATAGCTAATGAGCTTTCCAGAAACAGACCAAGGCATCATATAATTTAGCAACAAAAAAAAAAAAAAAAAAAAAAACCTCCTTTGGTGCCCTCTCATTTCCATTCAAAGTAACCAGGAAAAGTAAGGAAGTAAGGCCATTCCTCTGGTAAGACAAGAAGACTGTGTGAATCAACTACCATCCTACTCCAGAGTCAAACACAGACTGAGTTTCCCTGCAGTCTTAGCTGGAAATACAGCTCACTGCAGAATTCTGCTTTACAAAGTGATTATGTCCTATGGCATTAGAGTGAACCAAGAAACTCCTGGGCTCAGGACTCTGAAAATGCAATTTCTAAAAGGTGAGATGAGAGAGTGCAAGTACATTTTGAGGTTTGTCTGTCCAGCCCATGAACAATCACCATCCCTCCTTCTCTGAGAACTCCCTTCTCCTACCCAATTCTGCAAAGACAAAGGAAGGAGCAAATGTGAAGAGATAAGCAAATGCGTTGGGTTCCCGACAACACTCCAGTTCCTGGTTCCAGTATCCTGGGTGACCCAGTTATATTTCTTCCTTTGTGATCTATAAAACATCCCTGGCTCTTGATAATAAACCTCATTCCTCCTTTGGCTTAAGCTAGATAGAGTGGGCTTGACCTACATTTAATCAAAGAGGCTTAACTAACCCTGGGGGTATCTATGCTGTACAAGGTGCCTTCGAGCAATCAGAAACTTACCAAGGTACAGTGTGGGTCCTGGTTAGAGATGCGTGTTCCCGAATGGTGGAGAGGTTTCTCAGGTCCAGGGGAGGTGGCCGTGCTACAAGACAGCACACAATATCTAGTATGCCTAGTTCTCATGAGTTCAAGGGCAGAATCTAAAGGCAGTAAACTTTCTTAGCACACCAAGTCCAAATTTACTGACAGGCAGCACTGATGATGGGTGTGAATTTCACTGTCCTCCTCTTCCCTGCCCCACTGAGAGTGAAGACCAAGCAAATGGTCGCATTACCTGCTGGAGGTAACAACGTGGTGACACATTTAGTCTAAATACATTTATTGGGAACTCACTGTATGTAATGCACAGACAAAAGTCTTGGACCTTGTGGAATCCCAATACCTACCTCACACATGACATACCTAAAATGAAAATTTACCCTTCTTATCAGGGACAGAGATGATCACCCAGGTTCTAGTCTTCCCCACCTCCAACTCAGTTTACCCAATGGTCTTTCTGCCTAGAACATTCTTCCCCATCTCTTTGCCTAGTTACTCATATTCAGATCTCAGCTCAATGTCCCATGCTAAGGGAGGCCTTTGACCTCCAGACATGATCAGGCCCCACATCATGGGCTCCATAGATTCTTGTACTTACCCTTCACAGAACTACCCCCAGTTGTGATGATATATTCATCTATAATTACTTGATTCAGGTCTAGACTGTGCTCTAGGAGGACAACGGTTTATGTGGTGTGTTCACTGCAGTAGCCTCGGCATCTAGAGAAGCATGTGGCATCTGCCCTGACCCTTGTTCCATCTCAGTGGCCCATCTTGCATGTCTTCCTTTATCACCGCCTTTACTAGACTACGTGGGTAGAGACTTCTAATTCCCCTCCATGCCACCAGAGCCTAGGACAGCAACCTTCCTGCTGCCCAACTGGTTTGCCAGGAGCCTCAGACCTGGCAAGTGGCTGGGCTGGAAAGGGCACATGTGTCATGAAGTCCGTGGGGAGAAGGGTCACTCACCAGCTACCTCCCAGTTTCACCACCTGCCCTCTCTCTCTCCTGGGCCGCAGTGTTCATTCCAGAACCCACTCCTCCTGGGCTGTGCATCCACCCCTACATCCACTCACTAAATCTCCAACCTGGAGTCCACCAAACATCTTCTGTCTGCCTATCTCCAGGTCATATAGAACTGCAGTGTCCAATATAGTGACCACTAGCCACACGTGGCTATTTACACACGTATGTAAATTTATTAAAATTTAAAGTTCAGTTCCTCAGTTGCACTAGCCACATTTCAAGAAAGTTCTGTTGGATGGCACTGCCATAGAAAATTAACTGAGTGAAACATTAATATCTACTTCAAAGTTAAAAGACCCTGTGAAATTGTTTCTGACCAGAATGAATGGTTATTTCCTCAGAACCTCATAAGACAGGTCTGTTCTCCTATTTAGTACTAACTTCATAATTCTACTTTTTCGTCCAGGTGGTTTTTACATGGCTTCCTCCCCTCAGAATGAAGAACCTCATCTTTGCATCCCGCCCAGTGCCTAGCATAGCACCACACAAACAGCAAACACACTGCACATGTGTAAATGTGGTTTGACTCAAATTTAAGTGGGTGTGATGAGAATGGACCAGGCATGAGAAGAGGGCTTAGGTAGCAGCTTTGGGCATGGCCACCTGAAGTGGTAGTTTTGCCAGAGCAAAGAGAAGATAGAATGGACCAGATGGAGTGTCAGATCGTAGTCATTATACCAAAGGCTTTCTTGTACTCACACAGCCGACTGGGCAGGTGAGGTAGGGCAAGAATGAAATTAACAAGTTGCTTTGACCTGCTTTTCCCTTTTCTCTCTTCTCCTACCTCCTTGTCTGTCCATGCTGCTCAGTAGACCAGAGAAGCTGCCTGACGGGCACGTACAGAGCAGTGAATGATAAATTGTATGTGACCACGTCTGGCCTTCAGGAATTGGTGTCAAAGGCTATCCTTGGCTGCTTTACAGAAGGCTAACACTATGAATATATCCAAGTGCTGCCTAAATGAAGAGACATCAGGTGGATTCCATTCCAATCGATCATCACTTATTCTTGGGCCTTTGTTAGAGAAATAGCCAAAGATAAGATCTGTGGAATGAACTTGGCTTCATAGGCTGTATTTGCAGGGCCACAGTGCCTATAAGTTTTATGACTCTTTTACCATGACAATTTGGGACAACAAGGTACCCTAGCACATCCCATTCCATCCCAGCCACTTCTTTCTTGCCCTTATATTTTCCAGCCCTCTGGGATGGTTTCTCTAGCTCTTCCTTCCCTGAGAGGGTCAGGAAGGAAACCATTTCTATGTATCCACCAGGACTTTGCTCCCCTCCCCGTGTACAGAAGGGCTGGTCAAGTGCCTTACGTTTCCTCTGAGGTTTGAGATCTCTGTTCACCGGAGGAGGCTCCAGGTCTGCAGGTAGCTCAGGTAGCGGGCTTGTCATGCTTCCTGAGCTCATTGGAATGTAGTCATCCGGGCTGCAGAGGGATCCAAGACCAGAGACAGCGGCCAGGGGGCTCATGGGCATGTAGCCGTCTTCAGCACTGGCTGAAGCTGTGGGGTACATCGGGGAGAACCTGCTTGGCTGCAAGAGAATACATACAGATTGGGAACCACAGACCAATCATGGAAACTGCTACCAGTGGGCAGCCAAGGCTGCAGATATAGTTTCAGTTCCAAATTATCCAAGAATAACTCTGAACTTTCTCAGGAAAGTTGGACAAGCCTCTAGCTCAAATTCTGCCTCTGGAATAATTGTGTGTATATACAATTGACTCTCCCAGATATGATGCTGGAAGACAGAGGTTATGAATTTATGTAAATCCTTTAAGCATAATGTGATGCCTTAAGTAGCTACCCCAAGTTGAACAAGTGTCTAGAACATTAGAACTGGCAAGGCCCTTATAACACTAAGTCCAGTAGTTCCCAAACAGTTCAAGTGTTAAGGGGAGACTAGAAGAGTCCTCAGAGATTCAGATTGCTGGGTCTCAAAAGACTTGAAGGGATTATATATAGGTCAGGATATTTTTGGTAAAATTGAGGCTTAAAGGAGCCCAAGTGCCAAACTTACCAAATTTAAACTAAGCCGCTTGTCTTGGTGTCTCAAGGGTTGGCCTTCTACATCAGCTACAAGAAACAAGCCAAGGTGGTGAGAAATGCAGGACAATGTCAGTTGAAACTAGGGTCCAAGTCTCCATATATCCCAGGGCCCTGTGCTCAGCTCCAGTGAGGCAGAAAAGTATAAAACATAGTTTCTATAAGCAAGGCTCGCCATTAAATCTAGTGGGGCAGTCAGAACACATTCCCCCAACAGATGGAAAATCAGACCAGATTTTGAGGCAGTTTCCACCTGATGGCTTTGGTTCTCTCTGTGAATTAGGAGGAGATATAAGAAGTAATTAACAATTGCTTATTGCATTTATTACATAAATATTCTATGTATTCTACTTAGAGATAGTGGAGGCAGAGCTGGTGGTTTGAGGAGATGAGAGAAGGTTTGAAATATCCCTTGTGACGAGTGGGAGAATCCTGTAAACAGAGAAGCAATAACATTGTGCAGCAGCATTGCGTGTCCATTTGAGACCTGTGACCATGAATTGATGACTGTGGTTTTCTATAGCAGCAGTTATCCACTCAGTTACAGACATGGAGAGAGAGGACAGTTGGATTAATCCAGGATTAGAAACTTGTCAGATGGATGTGACAGTGTGATATAAAAATTTAGAATAATTGTTGAAATGAAACAAATGTCCACAAGGCAACAAGATATAAGGACATGGAATGAAATGAGATATGACTTGGGGGAATTATCAGCTTAGAAATGGCAGTCAAGGTCAGGCGCTGTGGCTCATGCCTGTAATCCTAGCACTCTGGGAGGCCGAGCTAGGCAGATTGCTCGAGGTCAGGAGTTCGAAACCAGCCTGAGCAAGAGCAAGACCCTGTCTCTACTATAAATAGAAAAAAATTAATTGGCCAACTAATATATATAGAAAAAATTAGCCGGGCATGGTGGCACATGCCTGTAGTCCCAGCTACTTGGGAGGCTGAGGCAGGAGGATCGCTTGAGCCCAGGAGTTTGAGGTTGCTGTGAGCAAGGCTGACGCCATGGCACTCACTCTAGCCTGGGCAACAGAGTGAGACTCTGTCTCAAAAAAAAAAAACAGCTTGAGCAAGAGCAAGACTCCATCTCTACTAAAAATACAAAGAAATTAATTGGCCAACTAAAAATATTTAGAAAAAAAAAATTAGCCGGGCATGGTGGCGCATGCCTGTAGTCCCAGCTACTCGGGAGGCTGAGGCAGAAGGATTGCTTGAGCCCAGGAGTTTGAGGTTGCTGTGAGCTAGGCAGACGCCACAGCACTCTAGCCTGGGCAACAGAGTGAGACTCTGTCTCAAAAAAATAAAATAAAATAAAAAATAAAGTTTATACAGAGAGGTAAAAGACCCAGAATAGCCAAAACAATATTGAATGAGAAAAACAAAATTGGAGGCTGACACTACTTGACTTGAAGACTTACTATAAAGCTATAGTAATTAAGAAAGTATAGTATTGGTGAAAGAATAAACAAATAGATCAATGGAACAGAGAACAGAGAGCCCAGAAATAGACCCACATAAATATATCAACTGATCTTTGACAAAGGAACAAAGGTGATCCGAAGTAGAATATATTATATATAGTCTTCTCAACAAATGGTGCAGGAACCGGATACCCACATGCAAAAATATGAATACAGACACAGACCTTATACCCTTCACAAAAATAACTCAGAATGGATCACATACCTAAATGTAAAATGCAAAACTATAAGACTCCTATAAGATAACATAGAAGAAAATCTAGATGATGTTAGGATTCGCAATGACTTGTTAGATACAACACCAAAGGGGTAGTCCATGAAAGAAAGAATTGGTAAGCAGGACTTCGTTAAAATAAAACATTTCTACTCCGTGAAAGACACTATCGAGAGAAGGGGATTGAGCCGCGCGGTGGTCGCCTTATCCTAGCACTCGAGCGAGGGCAGATGCTCAAGGTTCAGGGTCGACAGTAGCAAGAGCAGACCCCGTCTCTACTATAAAAATAAAGAAACTTAATTGGCAACTGGATAGTTATATAAAAAAATTAGCCGGCATGGGTGCGAGTGCCTGTAGTCCCAGCTACTTGGGGGCTGAGGCAGAAGGATTGCTTGAGCCCAGGAGTTTGAGGTGCTGTGAGCTAGGCTGACACCAGGCACTCACTCTAGCCTGGCAACAAACGACTCTGTCTCAAAAAAAAAAAAAAAAAAGAAAGAAAGAAAAAAAATGGAGAGAATACGCAAGCCACAGACTGGGAGAAAATATTTTCAAAAGAAGACATATCTGATAAAGGACTGTAATCTAAAATATACAAAGAATTCTTAAAATTCAATAATAAGATAGCAAACAACTTTATTAAAAACTAATCAAAAGACCTTAACAGAAACCTCACGAAAAAGATATACAGATAGCAAATAAGTATATGAAAAGATGCTCCACATCATATGTCATTAGAGAAATACAAATTAAAACAAAAGGGAGGCCGGGCGTGGTGGCTCACGCCTGTAATCCTAGCACTTGAGCCGAGGCGGGCGATTGCTCAAGTCAGGAGTTCGAAACCAGCCTGAGCGAGACCCCGTCTCTACCAAAATATAATAAAAATTAATTGACCAACTAAAAATTTATATACAAAAATTAGCGGCATGGTGGCGCATGCCTTGAGTTCCCAGCTACTTGGGAGGCTGAGGCAGTAGGATCGCTGAGCCGAGATTGAGGTTGCTGTGAGCCAGGCTGACGCCACGGCACTCACTCTAGCCTGGGCAACAAAGTGAGACTCGGTTTCAAAAAAAAAAAAAAAACAAAACAAAAGGGATAGTATTACACACCTATTATAATGGTCAAAATTCAGAACACCGACAACACGAAATGTTGGAGAAGATGTGAAGCAATAGGAATACTTATTTATTGCTGGTGGCAATGTAAAATGGTACAGCAATGTTGGAAGAAAGTTGGAAGTTTCCTACAAAATTAAACATGCTCTTACCATACAACCCAGCAATTGCATTCTTTGGTATTTATCCAAAGGAATTAAAAAACTTATGTCCACACAAGAACCTACACATGGAGGTTTATAGTAGATTTATTCATAATTGTTAAAACTTTAGGAAGCACGCAAGATGCCCCTCAATAAGTGAATGGATAAACTATGGTACATCCAGATAATAGAATATTATTCAGTACTAAAAAAGAAATGAACTATCAAGCCATGAAAGACATAGAGGAAATTTAAGTGCATATTACTAAGTGAAAAGGCCAATCTTAAAAGGCTACATATTGTATGATTCTAACTATATGACATTCTAGAAAATGCAAAAAAAAAAAAACAACCCAGATTGGAAAAATTAGGTGAAATTAACAAATTCCTAAAAAAAAAAAAAACTTACAAAAAAGAGCACAAGAAGTGAAAAATTCAAATAGTCTTATCAAGTAAAGAAATTAAATCTTTAATATAAAAATCTTTCCACACATCTAGTCTACCATTACCACTGCCAGAAATCAAGAAAGCTGCCTGGAGGTCCAAGGACTGGTCGACCCATACTTGCCACCACTGGCACCCACATATAATACCTGAATGCCTGAGAATTGGTATGCCTGGCTAGATGCTAACACCACTGATGCCCAAGGAGTAGCACTTGGCATTCCTGTCCCCAGCAAAGCCTTGCCACCGCCTCCACTAACAAATAAAGCCTGAGCCACTGAGGAACTCCAAAGAAACACAATAATTCTCCCATCCAAGTACTAACCAGGCCTGATCCTGCTTAGCTTCTGAGATCAGATGAGATCAGGCATGTTCAGGGTGGTATGGCTGAAGACGGGAAAAATAATAATTCTCCAATAACAGAAACAACAAAAAGGAAATCTTGGCCAAGCTCATGCCTGTAATCCTAGCACTCTGGGAGGCCGAGGTAGGCGGATCATTTGAGCTCAGGAGATTGAAACCAACCTGAGCAAGAGCGAGACTTTGTCTCTACTAAAAATAGAAAGATCCACGTGACTTTGGAAAACAAAAAAATAAAAAAATAAAAAAAAATAAAAATAAATAAAAAAAAAAAAAAATAGGCCGGGCGCTGTGGCTCACGCCTGTAATCCTAGCTCTTGGGAGGCCGAGGCGGGCGGATTGCTCAAGGTCAGGAGTTCGAAACCAGCCTGAGCAAGAGCGAGACCCCGTCTCTACTATAAATAGAAAGAAATTAATTGGCCAACTGATATATATATGTAAAAAATTAGCCGGGCATGGTGGCGCATGCCTGTAGTCCCAGCTACTCGGGAGGCTGAGGCAGAAGGATCACTTGAGCCCAGGAGTTTGAGGTTGCTGTAAGCTAGGCTGACGCCACGGAACACTAGCCCAGGCAACAGAGTGAGACTCTGTCTCAAAAAAAAAAAAAAAAAAAATCCAAAAACATATGGGATAACCTCAAGTAGGGCATGGGTAAAAATAGACACCTGGCATTTATGAAGCACATTCCGTGGGCCAGGCCTGGTGCTGTGCCCTTCAAGAGGAAAGTCACATCGCGTCCTGGTGGCAACCCTAGGAGGCAGGTATTATCATTGCTGTTGCTGAGCACATCTTAAAGCAGAGCAAACCGTGGCTGAGATTTGAAGCAACTTCATGTTGTCACAACTGTTGCCCTGCCCAGCTCCACAGGGTTCATTGCATTGTGCCTGTTTGGAGTTGAACCATGTCCTCCACAAAATTCCTATGTTGAAATCTGACCTTCAGAACCTCAGAATGTGGCCTTACCTAGAGAGAGAGTCATTACAGAGGGAAGCAAGTTAAACTGAGGTCATTACATTGGACCTTAATCCAATACAACTGATGTCCTTATATAAAGGGAAAATTTAGACTCAGACACACCCCCAGAGCGAAAACCACGTGAAGATAAAGGTAGTGATAGGAAGATGCTTCTCCAAGCCAGGAGCACCAGCAGTGGCCTGCAAACCACCGGAATCTGGGAGAGAGTCACAGGAGGCATGGGACAGATTCTCTCTCACAGCCCTCGGAAGAAACCAACCATGCTAAATCCTGGATCTTGGACTTTGAGCCTCCCAAA